CGGAGTGCAGTATTGGGCTTCAAAGTCTTGAAACAAATGAATTACGCGGCAGCTGACTGAAGAGATCTAACTACAGTATCAACTAACTACGGACACCAGGTGCTACACAAGTATAGCGTAGACACGCCTAGGGGAGCCTAGGACCCTACAAAACACAAGGGGCGGGGCCAGTGACGTTCGTGACACAGCATCATCGGGTTCGTAACATCTCCATCATCGGGAACAGGCTGAAAGTGTGGCAGGGGCAAGGGTTCGGGCATGGTCCTGGCTCCTTTGCAGGTCCAACAGCGAAATCGGTGTTAGTATGGAGACCGTTGTTTGAATTGTAACAATGTCAGACATCATCGCGTGGCTCTCTCTATATATATATACATCGGCCGATTCCGTTTCATTTTTCAGAATTCGTGTCGCAACCCTGTGCCATCGTTTGAGCAAGCTCTGAAGAGCAGCCCAGGGGGGCGTGGAAGGAGCTCCAAAATCAAAAAGAGGGAGAGGAAAAGATGCGTGAGAGGTTCTGAAAGAGTTCTGAAGGGAGTTTAGGAGAAGTGTCTCCAACTTTCGTTTTAACGTTGCGAGGCCTCTTTGATACCCCGGCTTGGCGGAGGGAAGGGAGGCAATGTTTTAGTCCTTGAGCTGGGTCCCGTACGGCATGGCGACGATTTCTCAGGAGGACTCCATTCAGAGAGCGGGTTTCTCTTTTCATTAGAGTTATTTTGACAAGCCAGACCTTGCAAAGCTAAAAGACTGAGCGGGCCGACCATAGTTTTTTTAAATATATGATTATATATGTAGAGGTGGGAAACCGATTGGCATCTACAAGGAAATCACACAGGAAATCAATAGGAATCAAACAAGTTAAAAAGGAAATGAATAGCCATCAAAGGAATCTTTAGAGGAAACCAGTTGCAATCAAAAGGAAATCAATTGGAATCAAAAGACATTTCAATTGAAATCGATAAAAAAATAAACGGACATCAATAAAAGCTTGAAACGAAACGATAAAAAATGGAAGAAATTCATATAGGAGGGCGCGTGTAATATTTATATAACTAACTAGGAAATCAGCAGGGTTTTAAAGGGAAATCGCTAGGAACCAAAAGGCATCTTAAAGGGAATCAATAGGAATCAAAGAAACTTAAACGGAAATCAATACGAATTGAACATTTAACATAGAACATGCACCATGACCATACCAACCTGAAGATGTATATATAAGGGGTGCATATGTATTGTGTGTGTTTGCATCTGGGACACCAATAGGGGCTTACAAAGGGAAAAGGAAATAAACAGTATTCAAAGCATGCTTAAAGGAAACTCAATCGGAATCAAACAAGCTTAAAGAAATCAATAGGAATCAACACGATTTTACAAGAAAAGCCAGAGGAACCAAAAGGAATCAATAGGAGTCGATATAGGAATGGAAAGGACATCAATAGGAATCAATAGGAACTGCTTTCCCAGCATGCAGCGCATGTTCTAGGCTATGTATACTGCACGAGGCCTTGGGAGGAACATGCACTTAGAACATCACAGCCATCCACTTAGAACATTAGGGGAAATTTGGCTGTGATGTTCTTTTAGCAAGTTCTAAATTACTCGTGTTCCAAGTTCGAAGGTTCTAGAATACTGTATATATATATACACACATATCTCCATTCAGTTAAACACTATTCTGGTCATCATGACTGGTGCTTGCGCATAACATAACATTGAAACATATTTGGCCACGGCGCGTTCGCTTAACGGAAATCAAGTCCAGTGAGGATAGGGCCATGGACACTGTTAGCCCTCGCCCCCTGCACGTTCTTCTTGGGCTGGTTCACCATCGGCGCTCGTTGAAAAGCCTTTGGTGGAAAAACATTGTTTTTGTCCCACTGAATCAGTTGTGGGCCAGAAGTGCGTCCAGATCGAGACCCTCATTTTCTTTGGGTAACATTGGGTTGGGAGTTGGGAAGCAGACCGGATACATCCCAAACGGGAAGAGGGCGTGGGAGGCCAAAGCGTTGGCACACAGGCCTGATGCACTATGGTGGCTTCCATCGGTTTGCCATGCTCAATCATTTCTTAGCCCACATACACAAGCAGAGCAACGATTGGCAGATCCCTGCGCCGGACATCGCCAGAGATGGAGAGCATATGGACCAGAATCCAGACTGCACGAATTCACATATTTGGGGGCCACGACAGTGGTAGCTGCCGAGTGCTTGCCCATGAAGACCCATCGGGTTTACAAGATGCTTGCAGAGGTGGCCAGAGAGATTTGGCAGGATTGGAAGAAAACGCGGCGCGTCCCTCAAGAGGCCTTCAACGGATTTGCATATGCCCTTAAATAGATTCGAGCAGAGGCCCCCACGTGGGTTGCAGCACGTGTATCGGCGGAGGTCCGCCAGCCTGTCATCTCGCTCACGGCTTATTGCGCTCAGTTCGTGCACTCTTGCAAGACCTGCAAAATTGCAGACCCGCTGTAAATATTCTTGTTGGAGAGATCTGTAATGCAACCTTGTCCAGAAAATGGAAGTATGAACTTGGATTGCACGCCGTGTCCCACGGTATCTTGTTGAGCTTTGCTTTCCAAACGCTTCTGCATGTGAAGTCTCGATGGCTTCACACATTTTTGCAGTGTGGACAGGCATTTGGGCAAGCTCAGGATAAGCTATGCCGCATCATACCTCACAAACCTCAAGCACTTCAATGACAGCCTCCCCTCTCATCACCTGGCATGTGCCATCTTACTGGCTCCAATCATCCCAGCTGGGGAAGGATAAATACGAGGGGCGGGGCAGGTGGGAGAGCTGGGATGATTGGAGCCACTAAGATGGCACATGCCAGGTGATGAGAGGGGAGCCTGTCAGGGGGGAAGGGAGAAAACAAATGAAAGAAGATATAGCAGGTTCAGATGAAAGAGGAACCAGAAGAGAGGAAAGAACAAGGCAAGGAAAAGAAATAGGACAGATATACAGGAAGAAAGAGGGGCAGTAGAAGATAAGAGAGACAAAGGAAAGAGGAAGAGACGCGCAGGAGAGGGAAAGGATAAATAAGAGGGGCGGGGCAGGTGGCAGAGCTGGGATGATTGGAGCCACTAAGATGGCACATGCCAGGTGATGAGAGGGGAGGCTGTCAGGGGGGAGGGGGGAAAACGAATGAAAGAAGATATAGCAGGTTCAAATGAAAGAGGAACCAGAAGGAGGAAAGAACCAGGCAAGGAAAAGAAATAGGACAGATATACAGGAAGAAAGAGGGACAGTAGAGGATAAGAGACAAAGGAAAGAGGAAGAGACGCGCAGGAGAGGGGAA